CAGCTGGCACACCTGGAGCACAAACACACTTTGGCTTCCCCACAGTGTTTTATAATGAAATGGCAGCAGCAAACTGCACAGGGTGAGCAAGAAGAAATGGGTTAGAAACTCTACAGGACAGGTTTAATAGAATTTGAGTGGAACAGAAAACCTAAAGGTGCTGAGAACAGGAGGATGAGAAGAAACTCTTTACCCTGGGATGCCTTACAGGAAGTCAAGAACTAAGAAGCAGAAATGTTCTTCTGCACTGCTCCAGCAAGACAACATCTATAAAGCAATTCAACTTATTCTTCTCTTGATGCATTAAAAATATCATTTGTGATCTTATCAATGGTCGTTGCAGAAACACAAATTTCTGGCTTAACTGAAAAAAGGCAGAATTTTCCATTCTCCACCTCCCATAAAAGCACCAGGCTCTCTCAATTCTTGTTGCATCTTGTTTTAAGAACCCTGTTCAGATTTTAAATTTTATATTCATTTCTGCAAGTCCTTCATGACATTTCTCGTATGGTGATGAAACTCCTCATCAAAGGAGCTGCATCCTCACAGCCCCTGGGGGTACAGCACTGAGCCAGCAGGGACAGCTCCCTGTCCCCGAGCTGGGAAGGCTGAACAGCAGAACACATCCACAGCTTTCCCTGCTCAGCCTTAGGGGAAGGGGGCATTCTGACAGGGTTGGGACCCCAGCAGGGACAAGGATTTCAAGGCCAGAAGTGCTTGGGAGAACACTCCAAGGGCCACAGACTCCACCTCCTCCCACAAAACTGTGGTTCAAGAACCAAGGCCAAAGTGGCTTCAGCTATTTCCAATTCTCATTTTCAGGAGGTCTTCTCCTTAAGGATCCACGTGGGAATTGCCTGGAATCTGGTGAGTCCCAAAGCATCCAGGATGCCAGCACCCATCCCTCCATCCACAGCTGCTCAGACATTTAGCACCCAGTCATTGAGTCAGACTCAAGGAATGCTCGAGTCCCTCTCCATACAAAAGGGAGCACATCCTTTTCAGCAAAAGGAAATAAAATTAAAACCTTACCAAAAAATCAGGGTTTCCAGAAAAGAGATTCCAACATCAGATGCACCAACCACCACAATTCTAGTGTTGATACACACTTTTGATTGCAGCACCAGCTTACGGTTTGTGTGGTTCAAAGAATATTTCAGCTGTAAAAAAATATGTAAGACACAGAGATGCTTTAAAAAAAAACAGTCACAGCCTGCTAGGGATCATTAAACTCTCAGTGATGCATTACCTTGCATTCACACAAAACTTCCTCTGGCTCACTGACAAGACTAATGCCATTTTATTGTGCACAGCACCAGGTAAGTGGTACTAAAATATGTGGAATATGTGCACGTTTAATTGGTCACAGAAAATTAACACGAGCTGAACGGTCTGGCTTGTCCTGAGCAAGATGCTCTGGAATCCTTGCAGGAGAGCACAAAGCACTGCCTGTGCTATCACTCACTGCCCTTTATCAAACACCTCAAGAACTTGTATTTGCATATTGCTCAGGCCATTTTTATACCTCCTAGAGCACTTTTCACTCTTGCTGGTTTATTTATGGAAACGGTTTTACTCGTAAATAATTAGGAATTTCTATTTTGAGTGGTTTTGTTTGTTTAATTGAAAAAGCCCTTTCCAAAATTATCCTTTTCTTTTCTTAAACACAGAGCAGCTCAGTGGAAAGCCAGGCTGCCACACGAGTACAGAGAACCTCAACACCACTGGGACCAGTGCTCCACTCACAAATCCTAGTGCCACGTTGGTAGTTCCTAATTTCAGCTTCCACACCACCTCATGCACATTCCAGCTAGGGGAATCAACTCCACGTGGGTTTTTTTTTTCCATGTTCTCTGTCTCTTGGTCTCACTACCTAACCGAGATTTTTTTGAGATTCTCAAAACAAATATCCAGCTAAGAGACAAGAGATATTATTGCAGTTGATAGGATTGTTTTGTTTTGTTTTTTTTTTTCACCTTGACTACGTTCAGCTTTCAAATTTCTGATGAAAGACAAGGGAATAGTTTCCATCTCACAGTACAATACACTTTGCATTTTTCCTACTGCTCTGGGCTGCTTACATTCCCGTTTCACAGAATGGGCAACTGCAGCTTCATAACTGCCCTGGGAAGACCAATACAGAATGGAGCCACTTTTGTTATTTGTCAGACACTTCCCCCATAAATTCCTGCTGTGGCACTTAGGAAGGAAGCAATCTAAGGCTTCTAACAGGTTTTCCTCTACTACAAATAGGAGACAGCACTAATGAAATTAAGTCCTCTAAATTCCTCCTATGGAAGTACATTAGAAATATATTCTCTACATACCAGCTGACAGAGTAACTCAATAGATGAAGAGTAAGTACTTGCTTTGAAGGCTGTGGTAATTACATGGGCCTTCTCAATTAAGTACATGGCACATTGAGATCCCCAAGAGATCTTTTATGCCATGTCTTTGCACTGGTGGAGCTCCACAGCTGAGGTTTCAGCACAGCCCCACCACACTCTGGAACTCACTAGAGTGCTGTCCTGTCCCTTTAGGAAGCATTATGGATCAATTCCCTGCCCAATGGCACGACTGCACAGCAAGTCATTCAGGATGCAGCAAAATTAAATGTCACCTTTGGTCAGGCAACGTTATTTTTTACTGCCAGACAAATGTTCTTTGAGCTGCAGTTCACCACAGTGCAACGATGACATCCAGTGGTGAGCCACATTCATCTCAGGGACTGGACTGCCCTGGGAAAATTCCAGAAGATATCTCCAAAAGTATGCCAGCCCAGGGTGGCTGCTCAGCAGAGCTCAGCTGGGTGGCAGCCAGCACAGGCCCACAGTGAGGAATGCCTGGGCAAGGGACAGAAACACCAGAGAACACAGGCAGGTGCCTACAGAGAACCTCCACAGTGCCATTCAAAGCCAGCACTCCTGCAATGCTTCAACACTCCTTACACAAGGATCTGCCAGCAAAACGGGTTTTAATCATGAATTAAATCATGCAGACTAAATCTGTAAAACTTCCACATCTCAGAAACTAAAAAAGCCCTTTGTATGTCCCTGAAAGCATCCATCTTCAGAAGAGATTCTAGGAAACAAGAAGAGCCAGTGCCAAGTGTTACAGACATCCCCCACTCCTTCAGATCCAACTCTGAGTGCATTTCTTATAACCCAGGAAATGCTCCCAGCCCGGCCACAGGAGCTCGTGTGGAGCCCTCCCAGTGCCACGATGAGGAGTGGAGGACTCGGTGCCCTCCCCTTGGCACACAGCAATTCTGACAGCCTGGCTTGTGCTGCACACACAGACCCAGAAAAGCAACGGCTTCTGCAGGAAAAACGATTAAGTCGCGTTTGTGTTGAAATGCAGCTTTTTATAAATTCATAAAATGGTCAAAACCGTGAAAATAAACTACTTGTGATGTACCTAATCAATGAAAATAGGCAGGAATGCCAGCAGCAAACAGCAGAAACCCATCAAGCCTCAAGGCAATGCCAAGCTCAAACACCTCCTCCTACTGCTGTGCTGGTGGTTTATTTTAATGCACTGCAGCAATTAAAGCAGAAATACAACTTCCCTGGGAAGAGTTGTGTCTAATTTATGAAATGGCTTCTGTGTCAGCGACACAAAGGCAGGCTATGAGCAGAATATAACCCGTTTTGTTCCCCACACAATGGCCCCAGCACCAACAGCTGGCATGCTCCAGAAATCACCTTTCTACAGCTAAGTACACTGAACGGCCCCAGGGAGGGAGGAATTAGGTGGATTGGTCCCATAATACCAGCAATTTTAACAAAATGTCAGGACAAATGGCTACCTGTGTTCCCCAGAGGGGTAATCACACATCGTAATTGATAGGTCAATAGCAAACTAGCACATTTATTTTGTATCCAATCTATTAAAGAAGCCAGTAATCATTAACTAATGCAAGGTAAAAAAGCATTAATTGCCATGGGTAGATGTATGCAAGGCAGCACATGTAAGGCCAGAAAAGAGAGTTTTCTTTGGTTATCAAATGATTTTTTTTGGGGCACTGGCACCCCTGTCTCCCATGCTGTTCCTGTGTGGGGGCAGGGGTGGCCCTTTGGCATCAGCCCATGGGCTATTCCTGCACACGGACGGGCAGTGCCACTCTGAGCCTTCAAACCAGGGCTGGTCCAAAGCTGTGCAACCCCCAGGAACTGACCACACACACCCTGCATGGAACCACAGCTCCCTCTCCTCATCTTCATCTGTGGCATCCACAACTCACACATCCTTCCAGCCCAAGCAACCAATGGAAAAAAAAAAAAGAGTCATGAAATATTGATTAGGTTTCAGCAAACACATCGTTTTCTTTGCACTTTCCAACCACACACAGCTCCACGTCCAGCTTTTCCTGTTTGCTTTGCACATGCCTTGGGAATGGATTCATGGTGCATTTATCCTCGACTTCACATTACATGTTGATGGTACAAACTCACATCCAGAATATTTTGAGGCTCCTTTTAGTTCTGTTTTTAAACGTTGGACCCTGGGCTAGCTGTAGGTTTTCTACACATATTTATAATAATTGCTTTACAATAGGTCAGGGTTTATAGCAAACACAGCTTCATTCTAACAAACAAAACCATGGAAACTGAACACCCAAAAATGCAAAAAAAAAAAAAATCTGGAGTTGGTATTTCAGCCCTGACAGGAAGAAAACAGCACTGTGTTCTGAGCTGGGCACTGGAAAGTCTATCCCAGTAAGACTCAGTGGTGCTGCAGCCCTCTCTGGGACTCCTCATGTAAGGGCTTGGCAGCATCACAGAATCCTTTAGTTTGGACAAGACCTCTAAGGCCATCGAGTGTGACCATTGAACTTAGGCTTGACTTTGTGAGACCCTGAGGACGTGGGGCTTGCCCAGCCAAAGGCAGAGCAGCGTTGGCAGAAGGGCTGGTGGGGCAGCCCAGCTTGGCATCCTCACTGGTCCCTCACTGCTGCTGCCAGGGGGATTCTACAGCTGCCTGCAATGTTTGTTTTATTCAGATTTGTGACTGAGAAAGCCCAGTGGCAGTCAGGGCTCCAGAGCAGCCGGGGGACCCGAGCTGTGACTGCAAAAGCCACCAGGAGCAGTGAGGGCAATGAACAGACCTGGAGAGGAGGAGTGCTGAGCTCAGCGACAGCGGCAGGCAAACAGCAAGGTGAGCAAACACAGCTATTTTCATTTCAAGCTCCATTTGAACCACAAGTTAAAAAAAGAAACGTCAATGTTTGCCAAGGTGATATGAACAAAACTGATTGGAAAATGCACGCTTTTTCAGCCTGCATTAGGAATTGTTTTCTAAATAGTAGCTACATTCCAAAAAGCCTCATTAGAAATCTCGGCAAACATGTTTTCAAAAGCTGTTTCCAAGCATTCACAGATTTATACAAACACCAGAAACTGAAGGAAAAGAAAACAGAAAAAGAAGCTGAGATGAAGAGTGCAGCCTTAATTGTTCTGTCTTTGTCAAAGAACCCTTCTCTGGGAGCTGGCTCGGACAGATAATACCTCGCCTTTACAGAATATTTTCATCCACAGATCCCCAAGGCCTTTTGGAATGAAGTCGGTATTATTACACCATTATTATGTCTGTGTGGGTAAATGCTGATCTCCAGCTTCTGGAAAAAGCCAAGTCTATGTTCATAACCAATCGTATTCCAATGCCTATAGATCTGTAGGAAACCAGGGATTTCCTGCTTAACTCCAAGCAGCAGCACAGGAGAGCAGAGCAGCACACATCTATTGAATTTCCTCGCAGAAGCACTGTTACCATGGTAAAAAGCTGCTCTTTTTCCCTCCGAGCACTGACATTTGGATCCCCAGCCCAGAGAGGGCCGGGCAGTTCACACTCGTGTAAGGACCTGAGGATTGCTTGCTGCTCTGCTTCAAAGGCCACAGAAATGGACTCGGAATGGGGCCACTTCCAGAGAGCTCAGCTCTCCCCCGTTTTTCTGGGAAGAAAGGGAAGGACAGGAAGGCACAGCAACTCGATCAAAGCATTCAAGCTGGCAAGGAGCTAAAGCACAAGGCTGGCTCTAGTCCTCTGACAGCAGGCACAGCTTCCCAGGCCATATATCTACAGCTTGCTCTGCAGAGCAAGAGCAGAGAGAAGCAAACCCAAAGTCGGGTTTGCCAAGGACTGACCCCTGTGAGAGAGGAGC